CCAATATACAAGCTGTTAATAAACTTTTCAATCAATCAATCAAAGAGATGGCAGTTGACAGAGCCGCGGCCCCACGGGAGCTGCCGCGGTGCGTTCAAGAACCTCATTAGAAAATCGGCCCCTTTTTCTGTGTCAGGCCCCATGCCAAAACTCCCTTTTATGGAAGGTTTTGGCAGCGGAGTAGGCCACCAGAGAATACTACAGCTTCTTAGCTGTGGCTCCAAAGTCGAGTGATTTGTGTGTGAAAAATGCATTTAGTAAAACCAATTGCATTTATCCCAGAGTAAGAGTCATATCTCTCCACAATTCCACATTTTCCCATAATGTCTCGTTGAGATCGGCAAGGCCGCTTTCATACGATGTTAATTGGACACCCATTATGAGGCGCGGCCCCCGTGAGAGTGGCCGCGGTGCGTTCAGGGACCTCCGCAGAAGAACAGTGCGTTACGTAGTGTAAACTCTAGTTCTAAAGTGATATGTGTGTGTAAAATGCATTCGGTAAAAACGATTGCATTTATCCCAGAGTAAGAGTCATCTCTCTCCACATTCCACATTTCCCCATAATGTCCGTTTCAAGGAGACGGCATTATGACGACGCGCGCCCCCCCCCCGTGAGAGTGGCCGCGGTGCGTTTAGGGACCTCCGCAGAAGAACAGTGCGTTACGTAGTGTAACTCTAGTTCTAAAGTGATATGTGTGTGTAAAATGCATTCAGTAAAAACGATTGCATTTATCCCAGAGTAAGAGTCATCTCTCTCCACATTCCACATTTCCCCATAATGTCCGTTTCAAGGAGACGGCATTATGACGACGCGCGCCCCCCCCGTGAGAGTGGCCGCGGTGCGTTCAGGGACCTCCGCAGAAGAACAGTGGGTTACGTAGTGTAACTCTAGTTCTTGAGTGATATGTGTGTGTAAAATGCATTCGGTAAAAACGATTGCATTTATCCCAGAGTAAGAGTCATCTCTCTCCACATTCCACATTTTCCACATTTCCCCATAATGTCCGTTTCAAGAGACGGCATTATGACGACGCGCGGCCCCCCCCCCGAGAGCGGGCCGCGGCGCGTTCATGGACAGAAGAAGCTCCGATTAATGCTTATTTCTCTCTAAGAGAAAACAGCATTATGGTGGAGCGCGCGCTCTCACGGGAGCATGCCGTGGTGCGTTCAGGGACCTCAGTTAAAAATCGGCTGTTTTTTTCTCTGAGTGGAAACTACATTATAGAAAAACGGCCCTTTCTGTGTCAGCCCCCCATGGGTCAAACTTCCTTTTATGGAGGGTTTGACGGCGGAGTGGGCCACCAGAGAGTACCACAGCTTCATAGCTGCGGCGCCGCAGCTGATTGCACATCCCCTAACACAATGTTATGGGGAATGGAAAATCAGTGGTGTATTAACAGAGCGCATGGACAGGACACTGAGACTGGGTTATTCACTCCAGTTTTGCAGCATCCCTCCTCCGTTCAGAGGCAGGAGAGAAGCACATCTGTCATCCCAGGAGGAGGTTTCCTCTCAGCATGTGCACTCTCAAGTCAGAGAGAAGGGGCATTATTCCCTGTACTTCCTGGTTCCCAAGAAGACAGGAGAATTCAGGCCCATTCTGGATCTTCAATGCCTGAACCAGCACATTGCATGCAAGAAGTTCCATATGTTAACTATGAAACAGTTACTGAGACTGGTGCAGCCAGGCGATTGGTTCACAACCATCGACCTGAAGAACGCTTACTTTCATGGCGAAATTGCTCCAAGAGCACAGAAAGTATTTGCGTTTTGCCTTCCAGGGGGTAGCCTACGAGTACAACAGACTGCCGTTCGGCTACTCCCTATCCCCACGCACGTTCAGCCATGACGCTGCAACCGCTGCGGGACCATGGCATGAGGGACGACCTCATAGTTATGGCCAGGTCCAGGGAATGGGCAATACTGCACACAGCCCAATTGATCCTACACCTAACCAAGTTGGGTTGAAAAAGAAGTTGCGGTCAATTGGAAGAAGAGCTCCCCCATACCTCACCAGCAGGTAGAATATCTGGGGGTGATGCTCGATGCAGGCAGACTACGTGTCACCCTGACAGAAAGCAGACAGGCATCCCTGCTGCGGGCAGTCTGCAGGCTGCGTCAGGGGGCGACGGTGACAGCTTTGATTATCATGCAGACTTTGGGTCTCATGACGGCTGCTCACTCCGTAGTGCCACTCAGACTGCTGCATGCACGTCGCATGCAGATGTGGTTTACCGGCCTTCGTTTAGATCTTAAGACACAAACGACGTCTGGTGGCCATCCCCCCCCTCAGTAGAGAGCAACCTCCGATTCTGGGGGTCCCCAGAGAATCTGCAGAGGGGAGCTCCACTGGGGCAGGTAACCTCCTATATCACAGTCTTCACAGACGCTTCAAAGAAAAAGAAAGTGACAGGATGGGGGGGGACGTGTCTAGAAAGGGCTGTGGGTGGTTGCTGGCCTCTGGCGGCACAGCAACCTCCTGGAGCTGCAAGCAGTGATGTTGGTCCTACAGCACTGCAAACCCTTAATACAGGGCAAACAGGTGCTAGTAAGGAGCGACAACCGCACCACAGTGGCGTACATCAACAGGCAGGGCGGAGTCCGCTCAATAGCCTGGTTGACCGCAGCAGAGAACCTGTGGCTGTGGGTTTCACAGATTGTGTTGTCTCTAAGGGCTCTTCACATCCCGGGACGGGAGAACAGGGGGGCCGACCTCATGTCAAGAGGCGGACCCCTGCCAGACGAGTGGAGGCTTCACCCGGAGGTGGTGAAGCAGGTCTGGACTCAGTTCGGTAGAGCAGAGGTGGACCTGTTCGCCAATCGGCGCAACAGCCACTGTGCCCTGTGGTTCTCCCTGGCTCGGTGGGACAACCCGCCCTTGGGGGTCGACACGTTTGCACACGAGCCATGGCCAAGAAAGCTGCTTTACGCCTTTCCACCGCTGCACCTTATCCCCCCCCTCCTGGAGAGGGTGAGGCGGGAACAGCTGTCAATCATCCTGGTGGCCCCAGATCGCCGCCTGGCGCCGTGGTAACGCGGGGGTAACACAGATGATGGTGGGCCAGCCCTGAGCGATTCCTCAGGTCTGGGGAGCGCTGTCTCAGGAAGCAGGTGCAATAGGGGCGTTACCCACTCTGGGCCAACCTCTCCAGGCTTGGCTCCTGAGAGGGACAGGCTGAGACAGGTGGGGCTGTCTGATAACGTTATTCAGACTATCCAAGCAGCAAGAGCAGAATCCACCACAGCTTGTTACAGGCCAAAGTGGGCGGGATTCCGGCGATGGTGTGAAGGAAGGAGTCTAGAGCCTCTGTCGTGCACGCTGGGCTCTATTCTTACCTACTTACAGATACTGGTGGACAGGGGGCTGGCTCATTCCACAATTAAGGTGTATGCAGCAGCCATTTCGTCCTGCCATGAGGGATTTGGAGGCAGGTCAGCCTTCAGTCAGCCGCTTATGACGCGGTTTTTGCAGGGGGTCAGGAGGCAGCGCCCGGTAGTGCACGCCTCCGCCCCGCAGTGGGACCTGCCGTTGGTGCTCGAGGCTCTGGTCACAGAACCATTTGAGCCTCTGGAGCTTTCCTCCCTAGTAGCACTGTCATGGAAGACAGCATTGCTACTTGCCTTGACTTCGGCTAAAAGAGTGTCCGAGCTGACCGCTCTGTCGGTACACCCAAGTTGTCTTTTGATCCGGGGTGACCGTAGCGGGGCGACACTCAGGCCGAACCACTCCTTTACTCCTAAGAGTATCAGAAGTTCATTAAAGCAGAGCAAGGGCTATTCAGTTAGGTGGCTTTAATCTTCCACCCCATATTGGGGCCAGGGAGGCTAAATTGCACCTCCTCTGCCCAGTGCGTGCGCTAGCATGCTATGTAGAGCGCACGGCTGCCATTAGGCGCACTGAACAACTGTTTGTGTGCTTTGGGGATGGTGTGGCTGGAAAAGCCCTCTCAAAGAAGCACCTAACAGGATGGCTATGCAGGTGCATTACACATGCCTATGGACGGGCGGGGAGAGCCCTCCCCACTGGGGTCCGTGCACATTCTACACGGGCTGTGGCTGTGTCAACAGCCTTATTCAGCGGCGTGAGTGTAGAAGATATATGCACGGCGGCGTCTTGGTCTACGCCAGGCCCCTTCATAAAATGTTATCCCCTGGACATGTCTGGCTCCTTCTCGTCGTCGGTGCTTGCCGAGGCAACGCATGACTGGTGAGAGGGGGGTGGCTGTGGGTCAGCAGGTATCTGACCCCCCCTCCTGGACATAAAACACTTGTGTTTTCCCATGCTCCTGAGGGACTCGGGAGACATGGTGTACAATCAGCCCCATACAGGGCTGGAGGACTCTCCCCGCCTGCCCATGGGCAGGCTGGGAGAGCCTTCCTCACTATTGTCCATGCCCACTCTACACGGAGCGTGTGTGAGTGTGGGGGATGTGGTGCACTTATGTTTTCCCATGCTCCTGAGGGACCTGGGGAACATGGTGCGCGGTAGGCTCCAGACGGAGTCTCCGCACAATTTTTTTCCATGCACACTCTACACGAGGTAAGCGTGTGTGAGTGTGCCTTATCCAAGTTGCGGCCCCGACTTCTCCACGGTTACAACCGGATGGGAGGAAGTGGGGATGCAGTGGATATTAGCCAAAAGCCGGTCAGGGACGGTGTGGTGGGTCGATGTTGTTGGACGACAGGGCGTTTATACATCGGGGCTCCGCCCACTGTACCCATAGAGTCCAGTAGAGGGCGGAGCCTGTGAGAGATATAACGGGGGGTTACGTATTGTAACCCTAGTTATATAAACACAGGCGGAGCCCTCTACCTGGAGGCCCTGTCTTTCCTAGTCCGCTCGCTGAAGAGTGTATACGATAGTGGGGCGGCGGCTGGAGCCGCCTTATATACTGTGGGCCTGCGCGCGCATTCAGGTAGGCTCGCCCCGATTGGCCGGCTACGTTTACGTAAATTCAGTAGGTGAAAGCACGCACAGCATGATAGAGAGTAGTACCCATAGAGTCCAGTAGAGGGCTCCGCCTGTGTTTATATAACTAGGGTTACAATACGTAACCCCCCGTTATCAGTCAGGGAAGAAACAGGAATTTTGACAAATGAGTGTGCGTGGGGTGCAAGAGGAATCAGAGCAGCTGCCTTTGCAGCTGAGTCAGCAGACGCATTTCCTAGGGAAACAGAGTCTGTACTGCTTGTGTGTGCGGCACATTTACAGACTGCAACCTCAAACGGGAGCAGAATGGCGTCCAATAGGCCTGCAATGAGTACATGGTTAAGTACTGGCTTGCCATCAGACTTCAGAAATTTCCTACACTTCCAAATAGCCCCAAAATCATGTACTACCCCGAAAGCATATCGTGAGTCAGTATAGATAGTTACAGTTTTGCCCTTTGCAAACGTGCAGGCTTTTGTAAGTGCGATGAGCTCTGCTGCCTGTGCTGAGAGGTGGCATGGGAGTGGGCCGGAACAGAGTACAGCAGAATCTGAAACAACAGAGAAACCCACCCGATTAGTGCCCCCTTGGTCGCGAGAGGCAGACCCATCAACATACAAAATGAGGTCAGAATTGGTCAGTGGAATGTCTTTTAAGTCAGGTCTTGGTGTGCACACAATGAGCAGCTCGGTCGTGTTCGTCACCGTCTTGAGGTAGAGGCATGAGAGAGGCAGGGTTCAGGGTATTACACCTTTTAACATGGACATTAGGCATGTCTAACAGGCATGTGTGATATCTCAGGTAACGTGCAGCAGAGAGGTGTGATGTTCTCTGTTCAGAGGATGAGAGACACAGCATGTGGAACCAACAGTGTCAAAGGTGCATAACCAACAATGTCACGTGAGGAGTTGAGAGCTTTTTCAGCTGCAGCAACCGCACGGAGACATTTTGGCAGGCCAGCAGCTACAGGATTTAGCTTGGAGGAGAAATAGGCAACAGGCCTCTGTTTTCCCCCATGATCCTGAAGGAGAACTGAGGTCATACACCCATCTCGCTCATCCACTGCCTGAGTGAAAGGTTTAGTGTGATCAGGTAGACCTAGCGTCGGTGGGGATTGGAGAGCCAGCTTCATGTTAATGAAGGCTTGATTGGCTTCCGGTGTCCATATAAGGTGACCTGTAGGTTTCAAACCAGTGACATGCGTAATAATACGTAGTGGCAGTTCGAGTGGAGAATAGTTTGGAATGAATGACCTACAGTATGAACACATACCTAAAAATGACATCATTTGTCGTTTAGTGACAGGTTTTGGCAAAGCTGCCAATGATGCAATACGCTTATCTGAAAGCGTTTTCCCCTCTCCTGAAATGACATGACCCAAAAATGTAACTGTTCTTTGTACATATTGGAGTTTAGACAAACTGGCCTTGTGGCTAACTAATAACTACAGGCTCAGCAGAGCGGATTAAACCTACATCATATTTGTGAGCTAGAAACGGGGTTAACATAATCATCATTGCCTGTGAGAATCAGAGAACGCAGTGCATGAACTGAGCAGTTAATGATGTACTTAAACACGTCACGTGATGAGGAATACTCAATTAACGGGTCATCAGTGATAGTCCAATCAGTAATAGATTCCCAGTCTTTAACGATTGGATCCAAATCCCTCCATCTAGCGGTGGGCCCCCTTGCTAGTGAAATGTGTGGGACCGCCCCTGGGATTTGATACAGCTTGTGTTGTGTGGGTGGGAGTGTAACAGAAATAGCACTGTGCAGCGCACTCCGATACATAGCTTTAAGCATGAGCTCATCATTCACACATTCCAACAGAAAACTATCTTCATAATGTTTACATTGATCTTCAACAACGTTAGCAGTACAATGCAAATGAGAAGCTTTCATGAACACCGCAGGTGGAAAAACACGCTGATGGGTCAACCGCAACAACTCCTGAGAATCAAGAGATGTTAGCTGCCATTCGTACACATTCACCAGATGCTTATCATCAAATGAAAGTTTTTGAACCATCGCAGGTGATGGCCGTCGGACTACGAGACCCTCAGTTGTGGAAATGAGGTCTAAGCCCAACCGGAGAATCAGATCTCTGCCCAGTAAATTTATTGGGCAGACAGATGATAAAAGGAAACTGTGTTTGACTGATGTGGGGAATGGATGACTGGCATCACCATTATCTTTACACTGAAGTGGTACAGAAAACTTCTCCTTTACAGTTACTCCAGCCGCTCCTATTGAGTGAATAAATCTACCACTAAATTTACAACCAGGCAAATCTGCCAATTTTACTACAGAATGTGTAGCTCCTGAATCAACCAAAAATGTAACATCAACACCCATTATAGCTAAAACCAGAGTAGGAAACTTCTTAAATGCTGTATCAGTACCATATTTTAAATATGTACCCTCTTTAACAACAGATTTCCCAAATGTTTCCAATCTCTCAATAGCTTGTATGATGTGTGTGTGTGTGTGTGTCACTTCCCTGATTAGATGCAGCAGGCAGAGGTTCCGTCTCCCCCGACCGAATTCCCTCCTCCTCCACCCCCTCCCTCGATTGATGTCAGTTTGAAGAATTGTCATTGTTCGTAGCTGGTGCAGAAGCCTTGTTTTTAGGGTGAGATGTGGGCACTCAGCAATCCAATGATCCATCTCACCGCAGTTGAAACAACCCCCGTTGTTGCCGTTTTGGTTGTCTCCTCGTCCTCTGCCTTTCCCTCTGAAACCTCCACGGCCTTTGAAACCATCCCTCTGCCATGGCCTCCACCCTGGGCTCCACCCTGGGCTTGGTTGGACCAGGTGGTTGTAACAGCCTGGACCATGGTCAGCTGGGCTTTGTCTTTGCGGTCGCGGCGTTTCTTCTCTTGCTTCAGGCGGACTCTTTCTTGTCTTGCTTCTGCAGCTGTTTCTTCACCTGCTCCCATCTCGGCCATGTCTGGTATGTTGACCTCTGGCCCAGCAGCGTCGTGAGGAAGAGCGGCTGGAGGAGGTGGGGGAAATGGGAAACCATGGTCGAGGAGAGGGTCTCTCACGCCTGTGAAAGAGAGATACAGAGAGGCAGTGTGTGGGTTATATGGTGGTGGTTTACCCTTTCTTATCACTTTCATCCTCAACCTGTATTTTCCTTATCGCCGAGGCCAACTGCCTCCTTTCACGGCATTCTGCTTCATCCTCCCAGTGTTTTAAACACTTTCTGTGAGTGTCCAGCTTCTCTAAGTCTGTCACTTTAATTTTACTCTTCTTTTTCATTTCATCTTCACATTCTTGTAATTTATCCCTTAGCTCTTTAATTTTTGCTTTACTTAAAGAACCCCCCTTTGGAAATCCGAACATTTCCGTCCAGATATTCAATTTAGACAAACTGTCTTCACCATGTTTCGCTCGCATGACATCCACTATAGGGCCCTCGGGAGGCTGTACTGGCCCCCCCTGCTTTGCTCCCATGGAGGAAAGTCTTTAAATGCTTTTCCCAGAAAGCACCCCGTGTTATGCCCAACACGTCTTTTAAATGTAATAAAACACCCAATGTAGTACCTAACACTGTCCTTTATCACCCGTCGGTGATGATATTTGTTAATGTCCGTAATCTACTTACGACCAAATACCTTAATATGAGCAGCCCACCGTATAATAAATGTCATGGAGTTTAATTACGTTTTATATTTAAACAACCAGTTCTATTTAACCAACTAGAAATTGTACGTCTCACCGAGTATTGAGGGCCCTTGAGTCCGTTGGATCTCGTGAAGTCAATCGGTTCCACCTCCGGCGCTGGTCCCCTCGTCCCGTACGTTTTCTGTCGAGGTAGAGGAGAATCTTGCAGAGATCCTGCCGACAACGCCAACTGTTTTGGAAATCTTAGACCTAGTCAATACTCAGGAGATATACAATCAGAATGATCAATCAATAAAATGGTGGAAACAGAGTTGTCTTTCTGGATCTTTATTTGAAGCTTCAAATAAGGCACAGGTCTTACGGAGTACAGAGTATTCTGAAAGAGTGCGCACAGAGAGAGAATTGCGCATAGGTTTTATAGCATCTTTGTCAGTCCACAGTTCAACAATAACTCGTGACCTGTCACTCTGGGGGGCTGGATGGGCAGATAAGCTAAAGCCCACATTCCAGAGGAACAGAAGCCACATATGGGCAATGTAGTAAATCAGGAACTTAGTAAAACAGGAACTGGGTAAAGACAGATGGAAGTGTTGAAACTTTAACCCCCAATGTGTTAAAGCCAGGTGAAATGAGGACAGCAGGAAGTCATAGAGAGGTCAAAACAGATATAAACAAGGAATGAGGAATTCATTGCAAGACAGGGGAAACAAACACAGGAACTCGTTTGAGACACTTCTTCACTTTTGCTTACGACCCTGTTTCACCCCCAGACATCCTTAAGGCTAGTTATATGTTGAACAGAGGGCATGGATTAAAATACCTCCTCATGGGACAACTGCATAGCATTTTACCATATTAGGTAACACATAAAGTTAGTTTGCACATCATATAAAGTTTACACTACATATAGAGTTTGCCATTACATATAAAGTTTATAAGTATACACTGTTATAAAGTTTTCCACTACACATTCAAGCTCGGCTCTGTGTGTGTGTGTGGCAATAGCGCATTTAGTGTGATAGAGAGAGGGAGGGACCGGTGCCAGCATGGACCGTGTTGTTAGCATCTGGTTAGCTAGCTGCACTAACGGACATAAGGAGCTGTTTGTTCCACAAGAAGCTGGAGGAGAGTCCTCTCCTCTCAGACTGAGAGGAGGACTCTCTGAGTGTTTAGATACATAACTTTAGTCTAAGTTATCTCAGTGGGTCTCAAACGGTTTGGTCACAAATTATTCAAAAGATTATTTCCGCGGCACACCTTCATATGATCATTATAGTTATAAAAAAAAAAAGAGAATAAAGGAAAAACAGTTATGAAATACTATATGGCAGTAAAACAAGAATAGAGTTTAAAAGGGGAGTGATTAGTAAAATATCCATAAAGAAAAAAGTACATCTGTTTACAGTTCTGCTTCATATGGGTGTTGAGAGCTGTATCCATAGATCTCTTCATTTTGCTCTCAAAGTGCACCAGATTGATGCATATAACTTCAATATTTAAAAAAAAATCTTCCCGGGGGAGCATCCCCCCGGACCCCCCTAGAGGAGGTGAGCCCCCCACTCATAAAAAATACCACTTTACCCCTGCCTATATGCCGTGAGTTGATTATCGAGCCTTCATTGTAACAGTCGCGGGTGTACTGTGTGTGTGCGTGTGGGGAGTGTTGCAGTGAAAAATGCCACTGTAGTGCCGCCGCCACTGTGGGCTAAGCCCCGAATGTTTTCAGGTCCAGGCGACGCCCCTGGTGTCATACAATATCAAACAGGCCCGGCCTCAGCCTCTCAGCGACTTTGTTTGTTTTCTGCTGTCGCTATTGGTTAGCTGGCCGGCTCTGTTGTGATTGGTCAACGGCTTAGAGATGTCCCTTCCCTTAGCTTATCACGTACAATGTGTTGGAGCGCTAGCCAATAGAAGTGCGAGTGTTACATAGTGATGTCACTATGTTGCAGAAGTAAACAAAGGAGTCCAATGGAGGGGTTTCATGAAGGGGGGGGGGGGGGAGTGTGTGGGAGAGAAAACTCCCTTACATGCACACAAACCTATATAACACAAACCTATATAACACAAACCTATATAACACAAACCTATATAACACAAACCTATATAACACACTACAGGAAAGAGACAACTCCAAAAAGATAGGGCCTTTAAGTCACATCCATGGTCACAGTGCCATACATAATAAACCCTTTTCCTTTACTACCTAAAGCCCTTGTCTCTATTGTACATTTCTGCTGTGTGGCAACACTCACATGTCTCAGGTCACGATGTGCTTTCTAACTAACTGAACAAAATACTGATGTGGTGTTGGTGCTTCTAATTAGTGCAGTTTGCACAAAACAAAATACCTAATCATCAAAAGGAATCTGACAACATATCTGGTTTTATGGCCTTTGATAAGTTCCTGTTTGTCTTGTATGTCTGTGGTTCATGCTGATATTGGTCTTTCACTGTCTGTGTAATATGGGTTAAATGCAGTGAAATGTCTTAAAAGTGATCCTCTAAAGCCTGACTAGCATCCTCTAGAGCAGGGCTCTCCAACACGTCGATCGCGAGCTACCGGTAGCTCGCGGGCAGCTTTTCAGTAGCTCGCCGCTCGATTATCGATTATAGCGTAGTAAGGTTGCTTATTGATTTTTCGGCCGCGGCTGGACAATAACGTTTTTTTATTTTAGATTTTTTTCTGTCACACGAATATCAAATGGTCGGTGACGCAGAGATCAAGGAACAGACGTGACAGCAGCACAGCGACAACACACACGGAGCAGTCTGCTTTCTCCACCAGCACGAGTCCAGAACTAACAGCAGAATGACCCGCTCTGAATCAGGCCCTGTCGCTGCGCGTCAGAGACACACAGGGAGGGATTTGTGTTTTTTGAAAAACACTCGTTATCGTCATGTCAGGTTTTTGGTGGATTTAATCAAGTCTTGGATTGCAGAGTATGAATGTCCTCTTGCTATTTTCAGTTGATAAATACTTGTGTAAAGTTTGTGAAGGCAGGAGGAAAGCTTCCGCGATCACCGTCTCCTCTCCGTTCCTCCAAACCCCGCCCCCTCCCTGAAAATAATGAGTGACAGGCTGATAGTGACCCGATAGAAACTTTATTATTCACTTAATCACTGATTGAGATATGATGAAGCTAACTTAATCTCATACATTCATGGGATTTATGTAACAGTAAGACAGAGAATGTAAGTGTGCACCCACATGCACTATTTTTGTTTTTATAATGCTATTGTAAATACTCCTGCTGTTTTCAGACTCAAGTCATGTGTGTCTTTTTTTTAACAGAAGACCGTAGCTAGAAGCTGCAGCTAGACTGCAGAAGTATTAGTTTTTTGTTTTTGAGGATGGAACCATTTTCACACACAGATATAGGGAGGCTAGACCTATACAATTGATTTATTATGGTTTATAATTTAATGTCAAGACGAAGACGAAGAAGAAAAAGATGGCTGAACAACTGTTCAGTGTCAATCCTGTGGAGATCTCCAAAATAATGTTCAGCTTAAGTCTCAGCAAAACTCACAACATTTCTGGAGCCTTGTAGACCCAGAAAACTATAAGAACATTCACCAAGCAGCACTGAAAATGTCTGCTTTATTTGGTTCTGTTCTACATACCTTTGTGAAGCAGCTTTTTCTGACATGAATGAAATCTAAATACAGAACAAGACCGACTGATGAACATTTAAATGACTCTATTAAGTGAACCTAAGTGGGTCCAGCATACACCTCTATGGTGGACTGTATGCAGTGCCATTAATCTCACTAACAAAAGAGTGAAATGCTTGTAAGGTGGTGATTAAGGACACTTATGTGAATGTTCAGTCATGTACTTATTATGTGGGCCATAATAATATGTGAGAAATCTTCGTTTTCTTGGACCTTATTTTTGATAAGCTTTAGGTATTGCAATTTCACACGTGTACAAAAGTATAGCTTAATTCAACTGATGAGGGCTATGTGAATAAATGTAAGCGATGTGATGCAAGTAGCTCTTGGCCACTTTCATTTTTTGAAAGTAGCTCTCAGATGAAGAAAGGTTGGAGACCCCTGCTCTAGAGTCTGCAGTGTTTTATTACATGCAGCAGTATCGAAGAAAAAAAAACAGCATAAGGACATCTGCGGAAATAAAATGTGAAGTTTGTCTAGATTCAACGAAAGGTCTTGTGGTCAGTGTTTTAAAATTGGGGATTTGAACCTGCTTTTATTTATGGTGCCAGTGCAAAGTTGACGGGGTCCACTGTTGCTTTTATTTCAATAACGAAATGATAACTTTAAATACCAAATAAATCTTTAACTTCTATTTTGCCCTAAAGTTTGAAATGTATTGATATATATAAAGTTAATAGATGTATAGATAAAAAAGTCATCATATTGCATGTTGTTAAATTATTGCAGTCAATGATAGAGCCATATTTTAAGTTAATATTATGCATGTTTACATCAGAACTTGCTTACTTACAACTCATACTAAGGCAATCTCTTTCAATCAAGTCGTTTTCTTTATGGATCCACAGTTTTAGATTCAACAACACAATTCAACCCTTTACATGTGTTTATACATATCATTAAAAAAACATCTCCATCAGCATCAGTTTGAATAAAAAAGTAGTTTGCTGTATTAGCAATACAAGTCAAAACAAGTTGTGTTTACTATAATGTAAACATAATTGTTCATACTTAATCAGCGTAATATACACACACCAAAATGCAATTCTGGTATTTGTTCTTCTTTCGGTAAAAAAAAAAACTCATAACAGAGGTGATCTTTAATAAAGGGTAACGACCGACCCTATTTACTCTTATCCTCCATTCAAATCAATGGTACTTTAATTATACTAGGCAAAGATGGACGAAATAGGCCCAACTTGACTATCAAATCTGATTTTCATGCCAAGTTTTCACATGAAAATGCTGCAGCGTCCACCGTGTGAACCGGTCTGATAATCTCCCTCCTCCCTCGATCGCACTGTGAGGCCTGCAAATAAAAACACAGAGATTTTAATTCAGTAAATAATACATGATAACTACCTTTTATTAAATTTCAATCATGGGGACAAGTAACAGAAACATCAATGTGTTATCGCTCACTCAAATTGACTGTATACTGTAGTTACAATTATATTTTTAATTCTGACACTTAAAGTGGACCTATCATGCTATATTTGAATAATATAGTGTAGGACCATACCTATATAAGGCATATTTATACTTTTTTTTTTTCAAAATACCAAACAGATCATGCATTTTAGCCATGCATCATTTTGCTCAATTTGCACTTTTTTATCCCTGTTTTAGCAAGGGCTGATTCTGTGAGAACAGCACCATCTACAGGCCTGGCATATGTACTACAGCGTCTCCAGCGCTTTCGAACGGCAATGGCCGTGGCTGTCTCCTCCTGATTGGTGGAGTTGGCCCAATAGCTGTAGCGCCACTGTCCTGACGTCAGGACAGTGTTCAAATCTGGATCAGTTTTTATCAGATCCGTTGCAGACCCTTTTTTAGAGATTTGGGTATGGAGGAAAATAGAGAGGGTTGTGTTTTCTGACACTTGGTGAGTTCCCTGGAACACCGGGGACACATATTCATGTATAAAAGACGTACAAAAGTGCATTTTGCATGATAGGTCCCCTTTAAATTACTTTACAATAAAAAGCCACTATTCACTCTCCTACTGCAGTTTCATTTGCCAAAAAATATAGACTTTCACAGTATAATTGTAGGTTTGTTATGTATCTATGATTATCTTTTAATTGGAAGAGCACACATTGACAATCTACAATATTGAATTTAAGTTCATGTACTGTAGCTAACAGCTGAGTGTTATTAGGGTGTTGAATGCAGACCTTTTTCAGGGCTATTTTATCATTTTTAATCAGAAATAATACTTTATTTACTTTGGGGTAAGTTGGGTTTCATGACCGTTACTCTATTTGAGTATGTATGAATAAAATATACAAAAATATATAATAAAATAATAAGAATAATAAGTCAAAGTAAGAATGTGCAAAAATGTAATAACAATCAAATATAGGGATACAAATTCAATATAATGCTCTGACCTGGAGGTACATAATGATGATGAGGACGAACAGCACCAGTATCACCAGGACGATCACAAGAACACTGACTGGTGCCGCCGTCTCTTCATCCTCATCTTCCTCTCCTTCATCTTCTTTGTTTGAAATCTGTCTCTGAGCCCCCGGCGCCGGACAGTCAGCGCTGCCTGAGGACAGAGTTAAAGGAAGAAGAGAGAGTAAGAATGATGTGTGAACGGTGGAATCAGTGGGGGTAATATTATTGAAATATGCAGGTCACCTAAGATGTGAATGAGGGTGCCGTTTCCAGTGAACCGCAAGTACGGTGGAGGGTAGAAGATCTCTATGTCACAGCGATACAGATCTGTGTCTGTGGCTCTCAGTCCGGATACCGTCAGCTCCAGAGCGCCCTCTCTCCTCTGAGCAGAGCACTGCACCTAAAACGCCAGGAAACACAATTTAATGGAAGAATTTAAAGAGGCCCTATTGTGCTTTGTGGGGGTTTTGCTTCCCTGCAGTGTGATATATAGTAGGGTTTTGTGCATGTAAATGGTCTGCTAAGGCTCATAACATGTAACAATCAAGCTTCTATTAGCTAGCGCTCCAACACATTGTACGTGATAAGCTAAGGGGTGAGACATCTCTATGCGGTGGACCAATCACAACAGAGCTGGCCAGCTAACCAATCAGAGCAGACTGGGCTCTGGTTTCAGACAGAGGGTGAAAAGGCAGTATGAGAAAAAATAGCTTTTAGAACATTAAAGCATGGAGACATGTCACAGTAGAGACACTACATACTGATATACACCTGATATTGAGCAGATTATGGCCCCTTTAACATACAGTCTTGTTAAAGACACAATGTGTACTGTCTGCCACTAGGGGGCTCTTAATCTCAAATAAGACAAAGGAAGGTGTAACAGCTGAATTTTCCATCCTCTCCAAAACAAATAGTCTAGATTCGTAAAACGCTGGTGGCCAAAGTATATTTAATTTATTTTTCGTACTAAAATTAGATAAGCCAAAAACCAGTTTTCTAGATTTTAGAAAATGTCTTTTCTAGGGCCTTTAACACTCGATTGCACCACCGCAGGGCTGTGCATATGTCGCTTTTTTTCAGTAGGCATGTCTGTGCAAACTGCATATGCACGGAAGTCATATGTCGATATGTTAATGTATTTTTCTTTTAATATGTAGCATGTATGGGTTTTATCTCCTCTCCCTCTCCTATGCACGAGGGAGTCTAGAACCAATGTCATTATCGGGACAATAAAGTACATTGTTTCATATCATTTTGGTCAAAGTTGGAATAATTTAAAGGTCTCCTATTATACTGTTTTTCATGAATCTATTATAGGTCTCAGATATATACAAAACATGTCTCTGAAGTGTTTGGCTCCAAACACCAAACAGATCATTGCAGCATCCCATAATCCCCTCTGTTTCAGCCCTGTTTCAAAAGTGCTGATTCTCTGTCTGTTACTTTAGATGAAAATAAGGAGCCACTCCCCACGCCCCTCTGAGAGATATTTGGTTAAAAAGAACTCAATGGTGCTCTAGGAGGAGATTCAGGTGATAAGGTGGGGGGGGGGTTACCTTGGTTGGTGATTGGCTAATGGTTACACAAGCCAAAAAATCGTTGTGACATCATGAAGTGGCCAAAATCTGATCAGCTCATTTTCAGACAGGTTTTTATATAAATGGATCAGGACAAAAAGAGAGAGAGTCTCTTTCCACAGAGGGGACACATGTTTAAGTAGAAAAGACATGACAAATAGGTGACCTTTAACATCCACCCCCTCACATTTACCTCTCCCTCCTCCCCCGTCTCTATCGGCCCTGTGAGGTTGAGGATGGAGGAGCAGATCTTGGTGGATCCGTGGAGGCCTCGCAGCAGAGTCACCCGCAGGTCCTCAGGTTCAGGGAACGGGTACGACAGGTCGTTGTTGGGGAGGGGACTCTGGTGGTGGAAGGATTGGGGGTGAAGAAAGCACTGAACCAGAGCCGTACCATTGCTGCTCACCACTTTATAGGGCTGGACCACCTTCACAGCTGCAGAGAAACAGGGGAAATTGGGAAGGGACAGTTAGAAAATGGGCTGCTGTGCGTCACACTTTTGACCTTGAGATAATTCAGTGAATCCAAATGGCAAAGGACAGGCAACATTTCAGCAGATTTAACATTTTAGGCATAGAGCAAATATCAATTTATGGCGATAAACTTCAGGCAAAAAAGTATTTTTCATGCACAGGTCGATTGAGAGACACCCTGTTCTGCTTTCATCAAATGCCCTTCATCTCCTGTTACAAAGGTGAATATAAAACATCTGATTTACACCTTCAAGTCTGGTTTTATAACACTTTATAGAGTTATATAAGGAGATATCCAAATTCCCAACTGTAAAACCAGACAGTTAGAAAATGGGCTGCTGTGTGTCACAATTGTGTCTCCTCTTTTCACCATGTCATTATTTATTAAATCCATATGGCTCAGGACAAATCAAATATCAAACAAATCAACATATCTGCAGATTTACTTTTTTCGTTATCAATTTATGGCAATCATTTTTTTTTTTCCATGCACAGGTCAATTGAGAGACTCCCTGCTGTTTGGCTTCCATATCATTCCTTTTATCTTCTTTCAGAAAAGTGTACAACATTAATGTTGTTTTTAAGTGTTGTTTTATAACACTTACTGTAATAGATTAATGCCAACTGTAAAGACCAGGAAGACATTTCAATAACAAGAAATTGGAACCTGGCATATTCCAATAATCACATTTTTGTTTTAAATATGAACATTCAGTCTTGTTTTTAAATCAGAAACATTAAGATATTCACTTGAATATGATATAAAGAATGGAAAAGTGACACATTTACATATTTGAGAGGCTGAAAACAGCATTTTCTGCAATGTTTGTATGAAAAATGTATGTTAATTGAGTCTCAAAACAATTGACGATTAATATAAAGTAATAGTCAGTTATCACCACAGCTCTTATCACATCTGTAATAATGTGTTTGTACTCACCGCTCCACACAGGCAGGCAGAGGCTGAGCACTGTCAACACAAACAGAGCCATCAGAGAGTCAGGATCTTCCTCTCACACACTTTGATTTGAATACAGCAAAAACACTGAAACTCACCATTTTATCCGTGCATGTCCGTGCGTGTCACGGAAACTTTGTGCCGCCACAGGAAACTGTGAAGAGATGCTCTGCCGGTAAAGAGAGGCGGCAGCTTTAACTGGCTGCTTATTCTGCAGAAAAGATGAGAAGAACTTCATTCTTTGTTAATACTGAGCCAGTGTCAGCGTTATTTACAGCTTCCTCGCACAAGAAAAATGAAAGAAGCAACAGATAATAAGTAGAAAAGTTGCACACTAGTGAAAAGTTGAAAGAAAATGATTATGAAGACCTTATAAGAAACACAACCTGGTAAAAACCTGACATCCATTTAATGCAATACAGTTGTAAAACACATCCCTTCAGAAAAAAAGGAGGTTTTAAAATGTGTTTGCAGATAATGCTTGTGGGAAAATGTGCATTAAGACGACTCTTAAAAACTAAAAGCCTTTGCAGGTTGATTTTTAAAATACAACGTTTTATTTATTAGCTTTAAAACATATCATTGCTAGTTTCCCTCAAAACAACAAACAAAAAACAACAACAAATAATACAAAAAATATTATAAAAATCGTACACAAAGGCAAAATAAAAACTAAAATTAAGACACAGCACTCAGGGAGATGTCCTGCTAAATTTCCCGTGCATCAAGATTACAGATGTGATAAGAGCTGTGGTGATTCGTAACTATTATTTAATAATTAATTAATGGTTTTGAAACTCAATTAACATACATTTTTCCTGCAAACATTGCAGAAAATGCTGTTTTCAGCCACTCAATGATGGAGATGTGTCAGCTTTCTATGCTTTATATCATATTAAAGTGAATATCTTAAAGGTCCCATGTCACGGCCATTTCTACTGATCATATTTCCATTGTTGAGGTCTACTAGAATAGATTTATATTGTGCAATTTTCCAAACTCACATTGGTTTCTCATACAGCATCTCTGTATAGTATGTGTATTCACTCTCTGTCCTAAACGGCTTGTTGGAGCTCCTGCCCCCCCCTCTCCCTGTGAGCCCAGTGTGCTCTGATTGGTCGGGACGTTGGGAGGCTCGCTGCTCAGTGAGCTGGCTTACTGGTGTGGTTTCCGGGTCGGCGAGACAGCGGGACAGCGCAAAACTCATCCTGAGCACACACAAACACTCACAGCCGAAGTAAAAACAATAAGTGTGGCTTGATATTGAGTAAGAAAAAGGTTTATAACGCTGTGAGAATGGGTCTGCGGAGACCATTTCTCCGTGATCCCAATTCGTCTATTACCAACCAGGGAGCTCTATGCAAGTCAATGGGACTCCCTGTTAGTTGGCCAAGGGATCCTGGTGTGTGAGGTGCTCCGCGGATTGGTCCATTTTGGACCGCATGACGTCATGCGGTTCCCGGAAGAAACAAATGGAAAAAGATAAATGTCCAACGAGGCGTTCTGGGGCAGCATAGACAGGTCTTTTCTGTGTTAGAGTTTTACTCGCTACAGGGTGTACTTTGAGGGTTTGTGACTCTGCAGACCGTTTACATGCAGAAAAAGCTACATAACACACAAGGGGACGGGTAATAACCGGAAGAGCATGACATGGGACCTTTAATGTTTCTGACTTTAAAACAAGACATTTGAAGATATTCTGATCAACTTAAACTTTGAGGAACTGTGTGTACTTTTATTTACAATGATATCACAGTCTGGTAAAGATCGGTATACAACACAATGTGTTTTTATCTAAAATACCTTCATTTAACTTTTATTCTGTTTGCTAATTAAACTGTGTTTCATGTCCATGATGAGTTAAGTTGTTGGTCGTTATTTTCTCAAGTAAGAAACTATAAAACCATTGTTATATTGACGGATAAGAGTGAATTAATATGATGGTTGGATAAAAAAAATGCAGGCATATCCACATTAAAAAGAAAAAAAAAAATATGTCATTGTAGTTGTAAATACCAACATAATTTCTGCAATACATTTTTTCTTTTAAAGTAACAGACTGACAAAAAATACTTTTCTATTTCCATTAGCTCCATTTATTTTACTGAATTAAATCAATACAAGTCTAAAATCAATCAAGCCTTCACATCTTTGTTAATTTCATTATCATTTCCCTTTACTGCCTTATTACAGGTTCACAAATTACATCCTATGGGTTTGAATGGTGTGATGCCTTTTAAGTCTGATGTTACATCACATGTGACAGTTTCTGATTTTCATCACAGTTTATTCTTCTTTGAAATATGTTAAATACTTTCTGTGGTTTCATCTCATGCATTTCTTTCATGCACACACTCTTGCTGTGCAACCATAAGGTGCAAACTGTGGAACATATCTAGTTAGACACAGATAATGACAGAGCTGATGTTATGAGATTCGCTGTCCTCCCGACGTCACACACACGTGTTTGGCCTGGAAACATTTTGTGGGGTTGAACCCGTTTTTACTGAAGTTACAGTCAACCTGGAAAACTGTGGTTTGTTTCTGCTGCTGTCATTGTTTCAGTGAGGTTTAGTTTGAAGAGCAGACTTTAATCAGAAACTGAAAAAACTGAAACGTTGACTTTAATTAAATGTATTAATTTAGGTCAACAGATTTCACATAACTGTATTAGGTTAGTTGAAAGCAATGATATTAATATTAAATAACAATTTGGTTCAACTTAATAGAATGTCTTTCAACTAACCTAATAGTGAAAACAGTAAATTCATCTGATTTCAGTGTGGTTCAAACTATGGGTCTTCAACAGGGGGTTTGTGACCCCCAGAGGGTCCTTGAGGTTATTGCAGGGGGTCTGCTATATAATCTGTGCATCAACCCAACACTGTAGCTTGTCTGTCACTGTCAAAGTATTCAAAAGGAGTGAAAATTGAGTTTTTCTTCACATTCAGAATACTTTATTGTCGATTAAATTTACATATAATGGAAATGTGTCTTTGGCACTGGCAACTAAGATAAAATAACGTCACCAGTACAACATAATTCATACACTAAGTGGCAGTCTTAATAAAAGTGGTTTCTTCAGTTTTTCTCTGTTTTCAGCACGTTTTCATTAACTCCTCCAATAATGGCATTACAGCGTGTCTGGATGCTTATCTGTTGAGAAACCATTGATAAATATAAGAAAATAAGGTCGTAAAGTATGTGGTGATGATTTTGATGATGCTTTAATGACAAAAACACTTATTTTTTACACAAACAAACCCCCCCCAAGTAAATTTTATCTGCCTCCTGTTTTAAAAAAGTGTTGAGAAATGAATCTATTCAAAGCCATAACTGGTGCAATGTCCTTTTTTTTTGCGAGGATTATCTAATTTGCCTTCAAAATGAATACAAATGAAATATTCTGAAAGCTTACAAGAGCATCATACTTGACTTTGCCCACTCCTCTGAAACTGATCATTTGCATCTTATCCCACAGATCAGTCTCGTCATCGACACATTTTCTTACAGTCGTTTCTCAGTAAACCGCCTGAGACATCTCTGAACTCTTCAAGAAGTGATTTGACTGAGCATTAAAAAATAACTCATGTCTTTCTGATACCAGATAATTAAATCATCTCAGTACACAAGCCCCCTCAAATGTACATGTTATACAGTCACAGGTATTGCTTAACTGTACAAGATGTATATATTCAAGCAATATTAAAGGTCACCTATTATGCAAAATCCACTTCTTCATGTCTCTTCTACATCAACATGTGTCCCCTCTTCTTCATGTCTCTTCTACATCAACATGTGTCCCCTCTTCTTCATGTCTCTTCTACATCAGCATGTGTCCCCTCTTCTTCATGTCTCTTCTACATCAGCATGTGTCCCCTCTTCTTCATGTCTCTTCTACATCAGCATGTGTCTCCTCTTCTTCATGTCTCTTCTACATCAGCATGTGTCCCCTCTTCTTCATGTCTCTTCTACATCAGCATGTGTCCCCTCTTCTTCATGTCTCTTCTACATCAGCATGTGTCCCCTCTTCTTCATGTCTCTTCTACATCAACATGTGTCCCCTCTTCTTCATGTCTCTTCTACATCAGCATGTGTCCCCTCTTCTTCATGTCTCTTCTACATCAGCATGTGTCCCCTCTTCTTCATGTCTCTTCTACATCAGCATGTGTCCCCTCTTCTTCATGTCTCTTCTTCATCAACATGTGTCCCCTCTTCTTCATGTCTCTTCTACATCAACATGTGTCCCCTCTTCTCCATGTCTCTTCTACATCAACATGTGTCCCCTCTTCTTCATGTCTTTTCTACATCAACATGTGTCCCCTCTTCTCCATGTCTCTTCTACATCAACATGTGTCCCCTCTTCTTCATGTCTCTTCTACATCAACATGTGTCCCCTCTTCTCCATGTCTCTTCTACATCAACATGTGTCCCCTCTTCTTCATGTCTCTTCTACATCAACATGTGTCCCCTCTTCTTCATGTCTCTTCTACATCAACATGTGTCCCCTCTTCTTCATGTCTCTTCTTCATCAACATGTGTCCCCTCTGTGTAAAGAGATTCTGAAAGTTTCAGGAACAAAGATTCTCTCTCTTTTTGTCCTGATCCATTTCTATAAAAACCTGTCTGAAAATGAGCTGATCAGATTTTGGCCACTTTATGTCATAACGATTTGTATGGCTTGTGTAACCATTAGCCAATCACCAACCAAGGTAACACCCCCCACCTTATCACCTGAATCTCCTCCTAGAGCACCATTGTGTTCTTTTTAACCAAATATCTCTCAGAGGGGCGTGGGGAGGGGCTCCTTATTTTCATCTAAAGTAACAGACAGAGAATCAGCACTTTTGAAACAGGGCTGAAACAGAGGGGATTATGGGATGCTGCAATGATCTGTTTGGTGTTTGGAGCCAAACACTTCAGAGACATGTTTTGTATATATCTGAGACCTGTGATATATTGATGAAAAACAGTATAATAGAGGACCTTTAAAGAGATACACTATACAACATAACTGTGAAATAAATATGGATTTTATTTTGGAATATATACCACTACAATACTAGCTTTAATAGCCATGATTTGTCCTTATGACTGCCGCACGCTGTTGTTGAACTTAGCCAGGTTTCCTGAACTCTCCAGGTTTGGTGTTCATGTAATCGTTTGAATCCTCCTCATTTCTCCTCGTGTTGTTCTAAAGGAATCAAACACAGAAGGAAAGAGAAGAGTTTCACTTACATGCAGACAAATGGATATTCAAAATCTGAATCACAATATTGTATACAGCCCAGGGGAAATATGTTTCACTGTTGCTCCCTTTGAGAATTCAATACAAAATAAAATAAAACAAATAAAAAATATCTAAAACAAAAGTGCAATAAAAAAATAATTTAAATAAATACATTCAATATTGAGAAATTCAACTAAAAAAGTGCAATAAGAAGATAAAATATATATTCATATATATATTTATACTGACATAAGACGTACTAAATGTATGTTATAACATGTCCAGGGTTTATGAGTCGCTCCCTGTTCTCATATTTACCCATAAGACAATGGCAATGCAGGTGATTGACAGGCTGTAGACCAATAAAACTCCACATCCCGCCCAAATCACCTCCTCTGGGATCAATGGAGAACTGAACGGACAGCTCTGATAGGCTGCTGGAACAGAGCCATTGATTTCATGCAAAGACTGCAATTCTATGAATAAAAAAAGAAAAATGTATTTAATTTTATCAAAATATGACATATATATACAGTACTATATAAAGAAAGCATGTTACCTGCCACGATGACTTCAGTGGCGTGACAGTCATCTGAGTTGGGGGGGGGGCCAACTCTCCTCACTCCTGCAGAGAAACTCTCCACTGCTGTTGGCCGTCACTTCAAACTGACCCGAGAACAGCATTTCTGCAGGACCAGACACCTGGAAAAAAGAAATGTGAGACATGTGGTGTTTTATATTAGGGGGACACAGGATGGATGAATATGGGAAGTAATGACATTATGAGCTGGAGAAAGTGACAAAAAAAGCTAAAATAATCACGGTTTTGTTGCAGATGCTAGTTGCTGATACTGTTTAGATGTTCTGCAGTGGTGTGTAGTGCACTCCCATTTGCACTATGTACATTTTTTTTTAATATATATCCTGCTTACTGAAGTAAACGGTTATTTTGTGGGGTTTTTTGTAAATTATTGAGTGTTCTTGCATTTTAATGTGTGAGTGTTGTCTACCTGGGGACTGTGGGAAACAGTATTTCGATCTTTCTGTGTGTACAAACATATTTTGAGATTGACAATAAAGTTGACTTTGACTTTAACTAGTGAAATATAATTTAATGTTCTGTAGTTAATTGAATGTATCCACCCAATTAAGGTGTACAAACCCCACAACCTGAGTATATTTGAACATCACTGCAGCACACTCCCAACACCAGAGGTCAGCAAAAAGAAGATCTGCAGCTTAATTTCAGCGCTTTAAATTTCAGGGTTTGTTTGTTTGTTTGTTTCTTTCAGTTTTCTCCATTCACCAATTCCTGCACACACATGTAATCATTTAGACATACTAAGAATCAGAATCAGGCTTATGAAAGGGGAATACATCCATTCAAAACCGTAAGAAAAGAGTGCCATCTGTTTCTCTTTGGATACAATTCAGGCAAGCTTTGGTTTATAATTATTATAACTGGTATTATTTGTTAATAAAGTCATTAAAGAGCAAAGACATACACTCTCTGTAAAGGGGACCCCAGTTACCTTCACCATTCAATTCAGTTTTATAATATAGGTTAATTTATTTATATAGCACATTTCAGACTCAAAGTGCTTGACATAAGCATTAACACAATATATTAAAAACACATAGTTTAACCCTTTTGACCCATGATTTATCTCAGTCCATCCAATATTGTTTTAACTACATCATAACTAACGTATTATGCATTCATAACCGTACAGTCCGTACAATGTGATTCAATTCACTCATTATATTTCCTATAGTGAAGACAGTGGATCATTACATTATCTGACTATAATAGACTATTAGAATACAATCTACCCCAAAAGGTTTGAAATGATTGTTACACTGGATGAAGGGGGTGGGGGTGGGGTGTCTAAAGTCAAAGATTAATCTTGATTGGGCCAAATTTGACCCCGAGTCACCCCCAACAATGCTGCTGGGTCTCCCCAGACCCCAACACCAAATGATACACTTTTTTTTTGAGAGACATTCAGGCTTGGCAAAAAATGGTCAAAATCAGTTTTGTAGTGTTTATATAGCTGTTGTGGAGGATATCATGAAGCCTTGTTCCGATACAAAAAACTAGAGCGTAGTTATTATATCATTTTAACTTGAAACGGGACACGGGAGACCCGAACACAACATAAGGGTTAAAAAAGACAATTCATACAAGAGATATGAAATGATATGCAATTCAACACTGCTAATTGAACTGCAGTTGAAGGACCTCTAGAAAAGCAGAGGTAAAGAGAAGCGGTTTTTAGCCTCGATTTAGAATAACTCAGGATTGGGGCATGATAATTAGGAATAAAAAAACACACTTTGAACAAATCCCATATCTGCACAAAGGTATTTAACTTCACTCCGTCCACTCCCTTCCCCTTTGACTCAATTTTCCAATCCTCATCTTGCCTCTTTTCCCTTACAAATCCAAATCTTTAGTTGTGTGAGTTTTTTCATTCGGTCCAGTTAGTGCTGCTCTCTAGTGGTCGCTCTCTGCATGCAGTGTGTGTGCAAAGAAGTTCATTGCAGCTGTATTGGACTTTCTGTGCAAACTAGAGTTTATGTGTCTGGGGTTTCTCTGTAAAAAAAAAAAAGTTCATGAAATATCAGCGCAGTCTTTGTGCAGAAACTGCCGCTTCCTGATGTGGCGAGTCTTCTTATAGCATCAGTCAAATATATTAAGATAAGAAAATATTACGACAATCCTTCAAATCACAAATCATTGACTAACCTTTCTCATATTTATTCGTCCGAAGGAGCTGTCATTGAAGAAGAGCTGGTAGTTTGTGTCTGTTCCCGTTGTCGATGGACAGGAGACGTTCACTTTAGTGAGTTTTGACACTGTGAGGCTCGTCAGAACTGACAGAAAAACACAAGAAACAGCCTGTTTGTGATGAGAAGAAATGTCACGGGGTTTCTGTTATTGTGTGTCGAGTTTACTGAACTCAACAACACCCTGTCAAATCTAAATCATAGCCAGGGAGGATTTTCATTTGGGACCCAGTCACACTATTAGACCCTTCACATTAGCTTTGCCAGACGCTCCCCCCACAACAATTGAACAATTTGTCTCTTTTTTACCCCTTTTTTACTGTTTCATTTTATAAATAAATTGTTTGCATTTTTTCTTTTTATTATTTAAAGTATTACAAAAATATGTAAATGCTTTTCTGTTTTGTTAATACTTTAGCTACCCACTGTAAAAGTGTAAAAAAAACTGTAATTCAAATATTAAAAAAAGAATAGAAATAAAAGAACAGAAAAAGATAAACATATATATAGAAAAATAATAATAATAATACAAATATATATATATATATATATATAATCAAAATATAATTCCAAAATGTAATAAATATATATATATATATAATAAAGATTGGGTATAACATTGGCCAAACTGGCAACACGGAAACATTTGTTGTTCTTAACGGGGGGCGTGTGGCACAGTGGATAGAGTGTAGGTGTTCAGATCGGGGGGTCACAGGTTCAAACCCCCCTGTAGTCAGCATGACCCTGGGCAAGACACTTCACCCCAAATTGCTCCTCTGGGGATTGTCCAAAGACAAAGTCGCTTTGGATAAAAGCGTCTAACAAGTAACATGTAATGTAAATGTGGAGGAATTTCATTGCATCTACAGGCAAAGGTTCATGTGATATCGTAGGAAAGGTTATTCAAAAATGTTCTAGCATTATTGTCAACCAACATGTGTACGTTTTCACTTGCATAATAGTTTGACATTTTCAAAGAAAACAACTTTTTAAAGTCATGGTTTGGATTAAAATAAGTATGGAAGTGGCGCATTTATGTGACAAATAAGTCAATGTCTGGGTCAAAATAAATGGCGTTAAATACAGAATTTAAGTGACAAAGAAAACTCACATCATTAACAAAGCACATCAGAAAGCTGCGATGTCGGTGTAAATAAATCTCTGTCCGAGCAGTTTCAGCCACGCTTTACTGTGACAGCTCTGGTATAATTCACCAACATGACATCTTCTTACCTGAGCATGTGGGGTCTTTTCCATCACTCAGACACACCATCAGCATCCACAGGACCCCCGCTCTCATCCTGTGCTTCTGATTGTATTCTGTTGTTTATTTGTGTTTGACAGACGTCTCTATCGAGGAACGTTTTCTTCCACATACAGTACGAGGTGCAAGGCTGTGCCACGATGCAAGGTGACACAAGTGCAATCTTTGTGCAATATTACAGACGTGCAACTCCTGAAGAGACTGCAAAGGAACACACTTCCTGTGTGAGGCTGACAAACCAAAAAAGATACAATCTACCCCCCCCCTCCACACACACACACACACACACACACACACACACACACACACACACACACACACACACACACACACACACACACACACACACACACACACACACACACACACACACAACCATGGTTAGAGGTGCAAAAACACAAACACAGCTGCTCAATTAATCGTATTTCAATCGCAATTACGATTTTGGCTTGCAACGATTATGAAAATAACATAATCGAAATAAAACGATTATTTTTTTTTTTTTTTATTGGTTTTTCAGTTCAATTATACTTAAAGTTCAGGGTAATCAACTGTTTAAAA